GTAGTGCTAGATAGATAAGGTATGATAATAGGTAGGTAGTAGGTAGGCTAGATAGGTAGGTAGGAATAGAATAGGGCTAGGCTAGAAACTAGATAAGGTAGAATAGTATAGCGTAGTAGATAGATAGGTTAGATAGGTAGATAGATAGATAGATAGATAGGTAGATAGATAGATAGTAGATAGGTAGGTAGATAGGTAGATAGATAGGTAGATAGGTAGATAGGTTAGATAGGTAGATAGTAGATAGGTAGATAGATAGTTAGGTAGGTAGATAGGTACTGAGGTAGAATGTAATCAGCAGCGCGAAAGCATGTGAAAGAGTATGGAGAAGTGACGTCAGTCATCCTGACGCAGCTATTATCGGATTAGTTTTTCCTGGCAACGGATTCATTACGGATAGGGTGAAAATAAAGCCATTACTGACGTCGCTCTACTGGCAAGCGGGCGGGCAATTTGAAGGCACGATAAGAAGCTTGGGGAGGTAAACAATGGAAAAGGAGAGAAAAGGACAGAAAAGGTAAGGGCGCGTGTTGTTGACGTCCACGAGCAGGATGCATATTGAAAATGAGAGATAAACGGACAAACACCAGAAACTGAATCGCATTTTAGAGGCACACTCCTTCAACGTTGGGGGGAGGGGGGGGAGGAAGAGGAGCTTGAAATACGGAGTAGTAGCCAGGTTCACTGATAAAAAGATCATTCGTATCACTCAAAGCCTCCTAATAGGATCCCCTTTCCGTAATTGCTTTTGAGCTTTGTACAAGCCTGCTGCGAAAAGACACTGCGGATAGAGACGAGAGCACAGACGTCGAGACGAAGAGATAAAAGAGACGAGCGAGACGCAGACAACATGACAACACCGACCAATCACATTCATTTTAGGAGGATCCCTGCATAGTGGGCGTTTCCAACCTCATATCATAACTCCTAGCGCCTTCCTCATCGTTCTAGCCATAAAATCGGCACAATATCTACTGTTGCGAGCCAGTCTATCTTGCTGCCGCAGAGGATTGCTACGCTAGCTAACTGAGGAATGTGCTTTGAATTGTCAAGGAGAACTTATATAGATTGGGAAATCAAAGAGGACCCCGCATCATATTGCGAAAATCCCAAAAATGGCCCGTGAGACCTGGAAAGTATTGGGAATCATTTTGAATTATTAAAGCCTCAGGATCAAGCAAAGAAACTTAGAGTGATCTACGCTAAGCTTCATGAGTGCAGAAAGGCAGTGAACGAGGAAATCCATTAAAGGAGGAATTCACGATTAGAATGAAGGTCGAAGAAAGGGAAACTGACCTAGTTGAGGGACCCACGGACCTCCTGAGGGTGCGAACTGACGCGCAATTCGCATGGAAAAATTTGACCTCGGCGACCTATCATGCCTCAAAGCTGGCGGGTCCGGCGATCTCCGCCCACCGATCATCTGATCACTCGCCGTAGTTCAATACGTGGCGAGTGATTAGATAGCTGAGAGAGCGTAGTGTTGAAGAGGGCACAGCGATGAGAGTCGCATCAATGCTCAAATCAACGGGCAAGGAAGGGGTACCATTTCTCGGGTTCTGGGCCGTTTCTCATGGTTCTTCCTTCTTTCGTGTACCACTCACCATCCCTAGGTTAATTTGAAATGGGTTGCTTTTTCATCGTGAATTCGTCCTTTAAAAACGTCATCCAAGTTTGGAAGTGGCGTTCGACGTCCGGTGATGAGTTTTATATGAATCGCCTATGAGGTCAACGAGAAAAAAAAAACTCGGTGGGTGGTCTTCGCTTCAAATTGAGGAGTTCGCCGAGGTCAAAAGAAAAACGAGACAGGAAATCATCAATCAATTAGGAATTTTTTCAGTCGTCAGCCACAATTCACTGAAAAAAAACGTTACCATTTTGCATTAAAAGGAGAAGCTGTCTGTTCGATTATGTCAGCGTGAGCCATGCCTTTTCCATTGTTTGAGAATTGCAATCGCATTCGAAGGGGCATATGGTATATACAAGTTAGGATTTTTGGAAAATTGCTCGATTCTGTAGCAAAGAATCCTATTTTCGTCGAGTATGATAAAATATTCCAAAGTCGGACATTTTTGATGAGTAAAAAAAGTTGTGCCAAGATCCCTGCAAGGTGACTTCGGCCTTTGGCTTTCCCTGCCAGACAGTTTTTCATGCGCACCTATTGTCCCGCTTTCCTACTCTTCCAGAACCTTCAGACACCTCCAGAAAAATTTGGTATGCCTTTGTTCAGTCGATTATGCTGTTGGCCGTCGCATACTTGTTTGGGAATCTCCCTCCACCGGGTCCTCAGAAGGCTGACCTCAGTTTCTTCGTGACCCCCTCCCCCCCCCCTTACTTCGATCTAGAGTTCCCTACACTTGAAAGTTTCAAAACCATTGGTAGCAGTGTGCATTTATTGTAACATCCCCAGCCCCAAACAGCAATCCTACTCGGAGCTCTCTGCACAGTACCTTCTCCAAATTTCGACTCATAGAAGTGAATTTGCTCAAACTCTGCCTTGATGTCTTTGATTCAAACCTTTAAAAAGGTGAGGCGCGAGTCCTTCCAAAGTACAACAGCAATGTAAGGCCGATGTCAGACTTTGCGAATCGCGCGATTCGCTAGCGTCTGCGGTCGCGTCGCGGCCAGTGAATCACTCAATTGGCTGGTACCGCAACGCGACCGCGGACGCTAGCGAATCGCGCGATTCGCAAAGTCTGACATCGGCCTAACGACGTGCAACAGTACAGCAATCGGAAAGAAAATTTCTCGGAAAAATGTCTAATAAAGCATGACACATCAAAACCCGCATTAATTTTTGGACAACCTAATAATTTCCGTCCCCTATTTGGAAATAATGAAAAAAGGGCGGCAGTGGTGCAATGGCGGGTGGCGCTACGCACTCATAACGTGCACGCTTTGTGGATCGAATCCTAACCTGAATCGCACGCCGTCCGGGCCAACCCAGTCCTCCATCTGTCAAGTTGGTTAGTTGGTATCAAAACTGTTCTGGGAGATGAAAACCATGAAGTCATTGTATAGGTCGTGTTGGCACTTAAAATGCCACTAGAACTCTGGATGGAAGTGAATGCATGGCCCATCCCGAAGCTGGACTATCAAAACCGGATGCTTTATTTTAACTCCTTATTTTTGAAGATACTTATAGAGGTTACCTGCCGGTTGCTCGATTACCCAAGTTGATGACAGAAATAGAGATAGGATCAAAATGAGAGGACGCAGGTTCTCAATACGAAAGGGTGGACCATATCAATTTAGAGAACATAAGTAATTTTTTTGCGACCTTCCAAAGGTCCAAAACCAAATTCCAACTGGAGCTTTGGGCCGGGTTGCTTTCTGATCAACAGCCCGAATAACAGCAAATATTTTCGGAGTTTCAAAAACGACAAAAATTCAAAAAATAACCGTAGAATTCAGTGAAATGCACGATGAATAGAAACCGGACAATGTGGGGTGAATCATCTGCTCCGTTGATCGATACGTCCGTGTCGTCGGCTATCGTGCACTGCCCAGGCATTGGCGATCAAAATGATAAAATGATAGGATGATTCCAAATGAATATTTCTAATGAATAACCCAAGTGCTTTGACTGATATTTCGACTGGTCGATGATGAACTCTCATCGCTTACTGAGTAGGAGGAGAAGTTGTGCTCGAGTTGTGAACCCCTTTAGGATGCGCCGCGCACGTGATCTTCATGCAATTCTTTGAGGCGATTGGATGTATACCTCACCTGGAAACATCACCATATGACATCGCAACCTCTTTAAGCCAGCCAATATTCAGTTTGAGGCCCTCTGTAATCAGTGGCCAATTGGTAGACCCGGGTACTGTGGAAATTCTTGCGGCTCAGATAGAATTCGATCCGACGTAGCTCGTAATTACAAGAAGTGCAATTTGTCAATGCGATAAAATGTTCGGAATGGTAGAACAAAAGTTTTATGTGCTAATTAGGTCTAAGTTCCAACAGAATTCCAAAAACATGAGGGGTTTTTAAAACGCACCAGGTGTACCTAAAGGCACTATTCAGGGTGAATTCAGGTACACGAATTCTTTTAGTGGGTAGGATAGAGCTGTTCAGGAAGGCGCGGATGTCCCGTTTCCTCAATTCGAAAGTGAGTAAAAGGCGCGATAGGGCCTTGTGAAGACGGCTTCGACTGCTTCAGTTTTTCCTTGCCCGCCGCATGCTGGCGTCTGCACTCTCTCCTCTCTGCTTAGTCTCTCACTGGCCTAGCTAAAAAGCGACCTGGAGTCTAACTTTGGCGTTTCTGACGGAGCTTGCCCTTTTTTTCATTTCTGGAGGCCCGCTCCACAACAATGCTCCCATTTTCGTGTATGAACCACACCAGTCTGATCCTGGGGTGCGTCTCTTAAATATCCGACTAGCCCAATTCAGTGGGTAATTTGAAGGTTCCAGGTGCGCGCTACGCGAAACATACGATACGAGCAAACAGCTTCTGGAGCAATTCCACCATGGTCGGTATAGATGGGAACTTCCACAATTCCCCACTGATTCTAGAGTTTTTTTTATTATACTTCAATTTTTCACATCGGGAATCTAACTAAACGTTCGCGACCGCACGCGTCAGTGTTTCATAAAGTGCACACTAAGATAACCACACGAAATGGCATGCTCATTCCTTAGTTGATAGGCCGCCCAATTTTGTAAAATTTGTTAGTCTTTAGTATTAATTGTGTGTACTTTGAAATATTACATCGATTTTGTGTCTGCGTAGCACAGCACCGCTTCAGCCAAAACGGTCAGATATAGCCATGGCCAAACGTCTTCAAAAACTGGTACTAAAAATATTGCACTACTAGTCAAAGGCAGGTAAACATAGGTTTGAAATGACACATGCGATTCACTTATGGTCAAGGTCCACAGAAAAAAATTTATCAAGAACAATATAAATTAAATACAGATATGTGTGTAGAACACGAGACCATACCAAATGAAAACCAACCAATCAATTATTGATTGGTTTAAAGTGCAAAATTCGATCAATTATCGATTGGGACTTCCAGTTGCTGGTGTTTCGACAACGTGAGTTTGCTTTGCTCGATAGGCGGAAGAGTTTGCGGCGGTGGCGGTGTTGGCGTCGAATGAACTTCTGCATCCTGAACACTGGACTGAACCGGAGCGCCAGACTTACGACGACTTCGCAGCTCAATCGAGCAGTACAACTGCTGCCTGGGAACCGTGCCCACCTTCGCCTTCTGAAAATAACGATTCAAAATAAAGTTACAAGAATTACAGATATATTGAGGAGAAATTCCTGTAGGGGAAAGAAGGCTACACGCACGTGCCGAGCGGGGTCAACCCTATGTTGCGACAAGTACCAACGGGGGGGGGGGGGTCGTATTTTGTTGAGTTTGTAGGTGGGGGGGGGGTCGTACTCGCTCTAGCCTCATGAATTCACATGTGAAACTGAGTGTTGCGTGGTGGAGTCGACTTTGTGGGTGTGTCGACTGGTCTCAAAATTGAATACTAGTATAGAAACCGCCACCATGACGGCGAGGGTGGTGAAGGGGGGGGGGGGGCGTGAAAGTTTTAAATGGAAAGGGGAGTCGTAAAAAAATTTCCGAAAAGTACGGTAGGGTAGTAAGTAGGGTCGACCCTGGTGCCGGGTCAAACCTCGGCTCGAATCTCCCTCGCAGGCAACTATTCCTTCTTTGCCGCTGGGCTCCGTTAGTCCCCAGATTTCCGAGAGGTTGAAGATTATCTGAGCGATCTTCGTGTACCGATTGACCCTCCACAAAAAATGGTATGGGGTAAAGGGGGCCAAGGAGTCGAGCGTTTGAGACGGAAGTAGAATGCGTGGCGTATCTCAAAAAGGATTGATTAACGCCGAACGCCCCATCCTTTAATCATTTTACTCCATATTAGTAATAGTAATGATAGTTGGTTATCACAAAAAAAAGCAGTCAGTCAGCGCAAAACACTTTGCTCCAGCCAGGAATCGAGCCCGGACCTCTCGCTTACAAGGCAGTAATGCTAGCATTGTGCTATCAGGACCAAAAAAAAACAAAACGAAAAAAAAACAACGACAAAACAAGTGTTGGGTCTTACCACCAATGGAAAAATCAAAATAAATTATTTGTATATATGATATCCAAGAAATGCATCAAACGGCTTCTATGGTGTAATGGACAAAACCTTTCGTAGCGCGCAGTTTCTGGTTTGGGTCGCCGGCAAGGCCTTGCGGTCATTGCCGATATCGGCTAACCGGCTCAACACGTTATACGTGTGAGTGCTGAAGCTATGGTACGTATACCATGAAAAGCTGAGTTGGAATGAAATGGTGCCCCGGTAGCGTAACTGGTAGCGCACTTGCCCGGAAAGCGAGAGGTGCGGGTTCGAGTCCCGCCTGGGGCGAAAGTTTTGTTCACAACCCAGCATTCTTGTGAAAAATTCAAGCTTTCAGAGCTCTTTTAAAAATTGATTAACCTTTTTCTTCGCAGACAGCAACGAGGTGAGCAGCGCTTTTGAAATGGGGCACGTTATCACGGCCAGGATTGATATCAAACATCCTTCGAGTGAGTAGATGATTGTCTGAAAACGCCACATTTATTGATCGGTATCGATTGGAACAGTACAAAAAATTGAAAGCTTACCAGATTACTGTAGTTGACTAGGTCGACCCTTTTATTTTGATTGGAGATCAATAGTATTATAACAGAAACCGTTGTCCCAGCACCGACCAGCAGAATGCTCATTGCAGACTTATGGCCGGCATTTACCCGCTCATCCTCTTCTTCTGAAAACGAGCACTTTACCTAGATAACTTGATTTTAAAGACATTCACATGTACAAAAAGGATTATGGTAATTTTATCAC